TCTGCGCTTTTGTGCGTATTTTAAAGTACAAAATATCATTAAATCTTCTAATATCGATATAAGATCGAAATGACGTTTGTGTTTTTTACTTTTTATTTTTAATTTTTATTTTCATTATTCATATATTTAATTTTAGTTTTATCACCGATGAATTATATACTTGTGTTTTTATACTTTTAATTTTATTTTCATTATCCATGTATTTGATTTTATTTCTATCACCGACGAATTATATACGTTTTACATATATATCTTTTCCGCTTTTATGCTCCTGACTGCTCAGTGTTTCATTAAATTTTTTTATAGAATTTTTCTTTAATATCTCACATATAAGATACTACCGGATAAAGAGAGCCTATGGAAATATTTAATTTATCATATTTTGCATTTTTTTTATTTGAATTGATAATAAATATTTCATGTAAAACAATTGTTATTTTATAAAAAAAGAAATTATTTGTATGCGCATTCAAAATAAGTAAAAGCATACAAATCTGTATTGAATATATAAAACTTTTCATAATTAAAAATCTAGAGGAAAAGTACTTTGGGATAAATAGTATTATGTCTGTACAGAATTTAATGTCGCAGTGATAAATGATGTATGCACACATGCGCTGCTTTATATTTGTTGAAAATGCTACATGTATCTTATATCTGAGAAGATCTCATACCTGAGAAGATCTCATACCTGCTTTATATATTTGTTGAAAATGCTACATGTCTCTCATATCTGAGATGCTATAATATGTGATTTGCACAATTAATTGAGTCGAAGAATATTTCTCTCACTCATATGCTACAATAATAACATAACTAAAAGATTGTTATTTTCAAATTATTTACAAAAAAATAATTCTTTAGAGTTTCTATTATTGATACAATGACATGATTAAGTTTTTTAAAATTTGTTTTTTAAAATTTCTAATTTTATATTAAAAGTGTCATAAATCAAAAAAGATTTAAGAATTCATTTTTATAGTACGTAAGGATTCAATTAAATGAAGAACTAATGATATTTTTATTTCTAGGCTTAATTATTACACCAAAATTACAAATCAAATATAATATTGCAAAATCTTAATGATTGAAAATATTAAATATTAAATTTTTTTCGAATAGCTTTGCTTTTTTAAATATCGTTAATGTAGCAAATGAGCAATATCTTCTGCGTTTAAGTTACAAGCATCATTTCTACATGATACAGACGCTTGATTGCGATTCGCAAATATAAATAAATAACTTCTTCATTCCGTATCAAGTTTATGCTCGATCATCGTAATTTCTTGGAATGTGCGATACTGCGAGATGAAGTTATTCGAAACTTGATAACAAAGATGAAATTACAATTTTGTTTGCAAAAAAATGTAATCTTTTACGTGAAACAACCAAGATAAAGTACGTGAAAGTTTATGGGAAAAACAATATTCTTAGATATTCTTATAATATAATTATATAGTTTCTTAATTTTTCAACATTATGCATGTCGATAAAATTTAACTGCAACAAAATATATTATCACAATAGAAAAATTTAAACTAAAATAAAATTCAAATAGAAGAAAATATTTTAGAAAGATAAGGATATTTATAAACATTGAGAAAAAATATATTATTTTAAAGAAAATAATGATGATTGATGGATTAATTTTTAATATTGTTATATTACAAGTGTGATTTCTCTTTAAATTGTACAAGATTTTCAAAGAAATTACAGTTTAAGCTTAATACGGATTTAGATATCTCAGATTTGCGACATGCGATATCGCAAGTTTGCATGATTTGTCAAGAGTTTTAGAAATTGGATGCATGTCAGCTTGTGACGGTTTCTCGATCATGGACGATCGTGTATCTGTCACAGCTGTTCCAATGCCAATTAACCACTCTTCGTTTCTTGTCAAGTGAAAAGCATTGATCCAGGACATGGCATATGTCGTTCTAAATCAGCAAAATCAGCTGGAAAATTGTTGAATTTTAATTAAGAATGTCAGAGCTATATGTACTTTGTAAGAGTTCATCACGCGAGATGAGAATAATTAATAAACAAAAAAAAAAGATAATAAAGATACATCTTTATTGCTTGCTACAGCAAGAAACAGCAATAAATTCGAATTTCAACTCTACATTTTTTAAATAATTAATTATATATTTCTAATTAAGTCCATTGTATTATATTACAAACATGTTAAAGTTATATTATAATTATTCTATTATATATTTACAATTGCACTTTATATAAATTTAATACTGAATTATTATTAGTAATTTTGTAATTTATTATATGAATATTAATATGCTAAATCTAATTTAAATATATTTACATATGTGTTTAATGAATTTTTATGTTTTTATTTATTCTTAAGAAATCGTAAAAAGTATGTATGTTTAGTTCTTATTTTTCGAATTACTTGTCGAATAATAATAGATAACGATTAGTATTACATCTATACAATAAACTTTATTTTCATTCAATTACTTGTTACGGATGGCGTAATCGATCATCAATTGAAATCCTATACTCTATTAACAAGTATGTTTCTAGAACGACGCCAAACAGTCGATGGATAAGAAACAGTCAACTCTTTCTGTCAAAGGCGAGATTCAAAACTCAACTCACTTGTAATGATTCGGTTATATCGATGATAGCATCGATAAACTTATGTAACTAACTACCTTTCCGAAAATTTTCTTTTAATTATCTATCTTTTTTTAACTTCGAACATTCTTTAAATCTCGCCAAAGTCATGTGTTCTCGCAGGTGAGTGATAAAAAATTATTTCGTACCAAAAGGTGGCATTGCTTGGGAAACAAAGGACTATTATAATTAAATCTATTTTGTTTGAAATTAATTGCACATGCGACGTAAAATTGTCGCGACACGCAAAGGCACAGCGAGTTAAGCGGAGTTAAGCGGAGTTAACACGCATAACAAAGAGAGAAGCCCACGCTAGAACGGGCGCAACAAGTGCATCCAGATTTCCGAGGTGTTGAAAGTACGTAGCACTATCGCGTGCGTCTAAAGTTTTCACGAATAATCCGAAGAGATATTTTTCCTTGGAATTTCTATCTGGGAAAGACAAATGTCTGAAGTATGTAGGTATATCGCTAATATATATATATATATATATATATATATATATATATATATATATAGTATACTATAC